TCTCCTCTGGTCCAGCGGTAGACGTGACACCACTGATCGTGTCCTCCTCCAGACGCTTCTCCACTTGGCTGCCAGGACACCACCTCAGGGACCATCCTTCTGGGACTCCTTCCCGCTGCCTCCTGCCCCCCGACCTTGGATGTCTGGTGCCTGGCCTCCCTTCTTCCATCACTCGCTCTCGTGCAGCCCCATCACATTGAACCCTGTCCTTGCGCGGACGCTCCACCAACCTCCCAGCTGGCACGTGCAGCTGCTTCCAGGACTCCTCTGTCTGCAACTCCAACTCTATCTGCTCGACCCCACTCCTGGCCTCCCTCTAAATGCTTCTCCCACAGTAAATGCAAACCCTCCTTCCAGTTGCTCGACCCAAAAACCTTGGCACCACCCTCAACGTCTCTCTTTCTCTCACACTTTGCCTTCCATCCAGCAGCAAGTCCTTTTGCCTTTACATTCAGAATATGCTCAGAATCCCACCCATCTCCCACCTCCACTGCCTCAGACCTGGTCTCCTATCTTAACATAAGTCTCGTAATGGCTCTTCCTGCTTCCACCCTTGTGGTCAGGTAACCCTTGCTCACAACCCTCTGAGGCTCCCTTCTCATCCAGAGGGAAACCTGAGGTCATCCCAGTGCGATGTGCCCCCCTCAGTCTCGGCTCCCCCACCTCACTGATGGTCCCTCTCACTGCTGTGCCTCAGACACAGCCCTCCTTGCTGTGCTGGACACGCCGCTGCCCCAGGGCTTTTGAACAGCCTCTTCTCCCTGCCTGGAGTGCCCCTCCTCATACTCAAATGCTCTAATCGTTCACCTCCTTTGCGTATGTCTTTGCTTAAATAGCACCTCCTCTGTGAAGCCCCCATCTCCTTGATTAAATTGCTCCCCCTCTCCACCCCACCCTGCTGGAACGCCCCCCTCCCCTCTCCTGTTGGCTTTTTCTCCTTTATATTTATCACGTCAGACACACGTATATGGCTTTATCTACTTGTTGGTTAACTCTCTTTGTCCCCCATGAACATGTAAGCCCCACGAGGGGGTGGCATTTTGCGCATTTTGTTCACAATGCCCATCGCATAGAGGACAGTCAACAAACAATTTGTTGAATAAATGAATGTCCCCACCTCAAACTTCATAAAGAAATTAATGGCCCTTAGTTATCACCTTCGACCTCCTAATTGGTAACCTCTGGCACGGCCCAGGCACTTTACTCTGACCAGCGGGTAACAGGTTGGCATCGTTGCTACTGATGGGCTTTTCTTCGTTGTCCTCTCGGGCTGGATGGGGAAACTGTCCAGCAGCTCAGCACAGGCCTTCCTCTCAGAACAGACAGGAACTGGGGTTTGCAAGCAATTGGTCTGAAAAGGCCCCTGAGGGAGACGGAGGGCAGGGTGTGGGACGCCAGGTTGCGGGACAACGGGGGCACCAGGCAAGATGGCACTGTGGTTCAGAGTGCTGGAGCCAGCCCGCCTGGTGGGCACCTCAGGCAGCCTTGGCTGCTGGCTAGCCCTGGCGTGGGCACTTCCGGTTCCATGCGTCACCTTTCCTGTCTCTGAAATGTGGCTCAGACTCATATCCACATCCTGGGGAAGTTCAGAAGATCAAACAGGATCGTCCGTGTACCTGGCACATGGACTTGGAAGCAGAGGGAGGGGACCCAGGGGCTTAGGGTCTGTCCTTATTTGGGGAGTGGGGTAGGGGTCACCCAGTGGGCATGGCTGTGGCACGGCAGAGCCAGGACTAAGGGTCTGCAGACTCCTGGCTCAGGGTTTCCCCCCGTTCTGCTGAGTCACTTCCCCTGCTGCACAACCCACACCCCCCACCCCCACCCCCTCCAACCCCCACCCCACCGAGCGCCCCTCAGACTGGGTGGAAGGGCTCTTGGGTTCTCTCTCCTTTAGTCCGGGTTATTCCTGCTGCATTAGGGCCTTGGGTCTGGCCGGGGGTTTCCACCGACAGCCCGGGTATGTGTGTGTGTGTGTGTGTGTGTGTGTGTGTGTGACTTCAGCCAGGAATGTGCCCTTAGCTCAGGAGAGCCCCCTCCCCCTCAGCCTGGGGTCGGGGTGACGTCAGCCCTGCAGTGCAGGCTCGGCTGGTTTCCCCCCCCGCAGGCTGTCGCCTCTCCCCAGGGAGGTCAGATTACCTCACCCGGGGAGCAGAGCAAATGGTTAACCAGCCCCGAGGGCTGGCGGCCAGGCGAAGAGCCTCAAAGGCCGGCTTGGGCCGCACGTCTGCAGGGCAGGGGGCACCTGGCCCGACGTGGAGGCCCTGCTGTTATCTGCATCACTGCCCACAGGTACCGTGAAACTGTGTCCATGGAAGGTTTCCCGCCGGTAAACCTCACTTTGCATTTTGCATAAGTCGGTGGCTTTTTATTCTGCCGGCATTGTTCAAAACGTATATATTTGCATGTAAACCAAGACGTAGGATACGCATGTTAAAAACACTTTTTACCACTGAAGATCTTAGCGTGCCATCTGTTCCCTTGTCAGTCTGTAGATTATCCTTGACACCAAAGCACTTCCCACCCCAGAATGGAAATAAAACAGAGAAATTAGTACTGACCACTGGGAGCAGAAAGTTCTTAACCGGGAAAAAACAGAATCCTCTCCTTAGGAGATGTTGGTCCCCCGAGGGGAGTGTTGCTGAGCAAAGAACTCAGCTGGACCGCTTTTCCTTCCCTGTTGACTCCATTCATACTTGAATTGTTTCTTTTTTCAAAAGAAGATTTTTTATGATTGCTGTGAATTTTTAAAAGGAATTACTGAGCCAGCCCTGATGGCCTAGCAGTTGGGATCCGGTGCCCTCGGCTTCGGTGGCCCGGGCTCGGTTCCACACCGCTGGTCTGTCAGGAGCCATGCTGTGTCGGCGGCTCACATAGAACCAGAACTTACAACCATACACGACTGTGTGCTGGGGCTTTGGGGGGAAGAAAAAGAAAGGAGGAAGATTGGCAACAGATGTTAGCGTAGGGCCAATCTTCCCCTGCAAAAAGGTAAATCAACAAAAAGGAACTACTTTCCGAGACACCTGTGGCTCTCGTGTAACCACTCTGTTTTCAGAAATAGATGTACTGGCTGTAGGAATTGGTAAATGGTCCTCCAGCAATTTAAATACAAATTATGTATTAGAAAACGGATTTTTTTTCCTCAAGAAGTATCAGATGATTCTAGATTAAAAAATAAATATACAAAGGTAAGTTATATTTACATACATTATAGATACATTTATACACACATTGTACATACGTTACATATATATGATTGCATATCTTCATGTGTAATATGTATCTGTGGAATAGAATAGAATATATTTATCTTTTTTATATATATCTTTAAAGAAACACCATGAGAGAAAGATGAAAGTTCAATAAAACACATCAGAGCCGGGGCCAGCCTGGTGGCGCAGCAGTTAAGTGCTCACGTTCCGCTTCAGCGGCCTGAGGTTCACCGGTTCGGATCCCACGTGTGGGCATGGTTCTGCTTGGCAAGCCGTGCTGTGGCAGGCGTCCCACATATAAAGTAGAGGAAGATGGGCATGGATGTTAGCTCAGGGCCAGTCTTCCTCAGGAAAAAGAGGAGGATTGGCAACAGATGTTAGCTCTGGGCTAATCTTCCTGAAAAAAACAAGCAAACAGAACACATCAGAGCTGACGGTCGTGTCTACAGGGGAACAGAACAGAGCTGATCTCTTCTCTCAAGAGTTGATAATCTGCGGATTAAGGGAGGCCAGCCCGTGAACTGCACCCCTGGGTGAGGCCTGGCTGTTGCTTAGAGCTAATCTGAGTCAGAAACCATAACCCATCACCCTGCAGGGCTGGGCCGCACAGGGGAATTGGAACTGCAGCTGGAGCAGGAGGCCCCTTGGCTCGGAGCAACCGGGGCACACAGCACAGTCACTCAGAAAAGACCGGGCAGCCAGCGAACGTTCCTCAGACAAGACCGCAGGTCCCGGCATCTCCGGTTCTTTGGACCTGGAGGTCCCAGCGCCAGGAGTCTGCCCCCTCTGACCTCAGGCCTGGACTCTGCTGGGACCTCAGACCTCAGGGGAGAGGGGCCACCCCCTCCGTGCGGGGAAACGCCTTCCTTTGTTCCCATCCCAGAAGCCTCATCCCCAGGGACTTCCCAGCCTCAGTCTTCCCTCTGCTCAGACCCTGCCCTAAGCATCATCCCCCCTATTGACTCAGACTCTGGAGAGGTGGGACATCCCGTCATGGTTTCCACTTGGTTTCGTGGACGTTGCTGGGTCTGCAGCAGGTCCAAGGCCCTTGGCTGCATTTGCCCGGGCACTGCCCTGTCAGACATGGCGGGGACGGCAGCAGGGGCTTGCAGGGGAGCCAGGACCCTTCCTGAGGCGTCACCTGGACACTGAGCCACTCACTGCCTGTCAGGCCTTCACAGAGTGGACGACAGCCCCACACCCAGGGCCCTGGGAGAACAGTGTCCCCGACGGGCGGTCACACTCGGGGATTCTTGGCTCAACCCTGTCCCACCTCCTTCACTGCCTCCTCCTGCTTCCAGCACCTTCCCTGAGTTTCCCGCTCAGCAGAGCCAGCTCTGGGCTTGTCCTTGGAAGATGGGCCAAGTGAGAAGTCCTCTCTCCCGCCCTGGGCCATTGCCACCGCTGCAGGCCTCCTAAGATATCATCTATTCTAACGTTTCTCCTAAAGGGGCTCCCCTTTACTATAAGCGAAATAAGCTGGACACGAAAGGATAAACACGGAACAATTCCGCTTATCCGCGGTCCTGGAGCAGTCGGGTTCTCACAGACAGAACATGGATGGGAGGGGGCGGGGGCTGGAGGGGGAGGGGGCGAGCAGCTGTTGAATGGGGACACAGTTCTCGTTTGGGAAGACGAGAAAGTTCTGGAGATGGGTAATGGTGATGGTTGCACAACAGTGTGAATGTACTTGGTGACCCGGAACTGTACACTGAAAAACGGTGAAAACGGTGAATTTTATGCTATGTATATTATACCACAATTTGAATAAAGTTCTAAACTAATAGCTAACATTAATAATAATATATTAATGCTAGACATACTATAACAGAGATAATAATATACAATATGTAATAATATACATGTACTTTCCTAACCCAGCAGCCGGGGCAGTCCTGGTCAATCCTGGCTCAGTTCGTGACCCTCCTCTGCTCAGAACCTCCCAGGCTCCTCTGATGCATTCACCTGGAGCCCCTCCAAGGCCCTGGTGGTGGGGCCGTCTGCGGCCTGCTTCCCCTGCTCCCCCTGAGGTCTGTCAGGATCCCCCTTGGATGCCTTCAGTCTTTATGCAAATTACCTCTCCTCGGGGAGGCCCTGGCAAACTCCCCAACCCTCTCGGCCTCATCTTCCCCCTGGGCACTGACTCCTCTCTGGAGTACAATCTATTCACACGTTGCCCTCACTGCCCGGCTCTCACCCACCAGAGTGGAGGTGAAGGTGGACAGGCCAGGGTCTCTGTTTTGTTCACTCATGTCCCCCGGGTGCTGGAAGATCCCTGGAACACAGTGTGCCGTGGGCCAGTGTTTGTGGGCTGCGTGGGGTTTTTGAATGTCCTGAGTGGCCCAGGCCCCCACAAGCACCTCAGATGGACCAGCCCTGAGAGGCTGGTGTGTGGCCCTCCTCGGTGCAGCGGGCTCCCAGCTGACGGGCGCTGAGGCCCTCTCGCGTGTCCTCAGCCTTCACCCTCTTTCTCCCTCAGCTCCTTGAAGTAGGAAAATGAAACTAAGGTGCATCCCACCCCCGGAGCAGCCACGTGGCAAACTCTGGCCAATGACTCAGCGCATCCTCAGCCAGGTCCTGGCCGTGGGCTGAGCGGCAGGGCCTTGCTTGGGGCACAGACAGGGCTGAGAGAGAACGGGTGGGCCAAGGGCAGCCCCAGGAGGGGGAATCGTGGAGGGCACAGGGGGCGGCCTGGGGCCCTGGTGCTGCCCCTGGGTGGGCAGGTCCTCAGGTCCCTGGTGCCAGCCCCCCTGGGGTGTGAGGTGAGCAGCCTCCGACCGAGTGAGATACAAACAAAGGCCCAGGTCGCCTTTGTCCTCCACCCGCCCCTTGTCCTCTGTTTACATCCTTCCTTCCCGTAAATGAGCTGGGCACCGGCCCCGCTGGCCGGGAGCCAGACACACCTGTAGGGCAGGTTGGGAGAGCGCTAGGGGGCGGGGTGTGGGCAGCAGGGCTGGCAGGTGGTCAGGCCCTTGGGGAGCAAGTGCCGCTCCTTCCAGGGCAGCGCTGGTGCCAGGCTCTTCCCGCCGTGGGCCAGGGATTCTCAGCCAACTCCAAGAGGATGTGATGCCTCCAGGAGGGCCCCCTTGCCAGGGAGTGCTTCATCCAAGTCGCCAGGGGCAGGAGGACTGAAGGCTCTTGGTCCTCAGTGGGCATTTCCCAGAGGGAAACTGAAGTCTGGGGAGAGACAGAGTCATACTGGCTGTACGATCCACGCTCGAGCCACTTGCTCCCTTGACAAGAGACCCCACCGTGGCGTGGGGCCCTGGGTGCAGTGGCTGCAGGGGAGCTGGGCTCAGTCCTGCCTTGTGACTGGGCAGGCTCTGCCCCTCTCTGGGCTTCACCCCACAACTGGGTCATTGAACAAGTGAGAGGGAACTTGTTTACACCTGCGGAAGGCACGAGGGGTGAGGGCAGGCTGGGGGATGAGGTGAGGGGAGGACGGAAGGGGTGAGCTGAGTCCTGTCCAATGGAGAATCAGGGGGCAGGACATGTGTCCCAAAGGAAGAGAGATGTGGGGTGTCCAGCCCCTGGGGCACCAGCAGCCCTCGGGTCTAGGCAGGGTCAGGGACCTGGGTAGGTGTGGCTCTCGTCAGGAGAAGTTTCCTTCTCTGCAGGGGATTAACAGGCCAAGATGTGTTTTCCACTCATCTCTTCTGCGTCTCTCAACAGTGATGACTGGACACCCAGTCACCCAGTACTGTGTGTGCTGACCGCCTACCGCATGCCCAGCCCTTTGCTGATTTGGCTGGAACCCCCCACTGGGGCTGTCCGTCAGCGCCCTCTCCATCCCCTTCAACACGCCTCCACTCCTCTCCTCCAGCTCCTACACCTGGGCCCTCTCATTTCCCCCACAAACCATCCTGCCGTCTCTCCACCGGAACAGTCCGGGCATCAAACAGGACACCCTGCCTTTCCTGACCGGCTGAACCCTCACCCGCCCACCTTCCCATCCCTGCTCAGCCCCTCAGGATGGGGAGGTCAGCACACGGAGGCTCAACCCTAAGACCACCGGGGGCTACTTCAGGGGGTCCTACTGTGCAAGGCGGAGGGCCCATGGGCCCCCAGATGAGAGCTCCTGGTCAGCTGGCTGCCTGCATCATGCTCGGGGTGCCTACGCCAGGGCCTTGCAGCCCCCGCACATGGGCCTGAACGTCCTGGGACGCCCTTACCTGCGCTCCGTCTTCACCTGCCTTTTGTCAAAGACCTGAGTACACCGTGGTGATGGTTTCCTCCACAGGGCTTTGGGGCAAACTTCCCCCATTTCCTCTAAGTGGACGCTGAGACTGGGCTCTGGGAGCCTGGGGCTGGGGGTTCCTCACCGCCCCGAGTGCAGGGTCCCTCCATCCGGGGATCGTCAGGGGTTTGATCCTGTCACATTGTCCAGGACCCACAGAGTTTCCTAGTCCCTCGTTTCTGCTTCTGCCCCCAGCTTGTCTCCCCCGAGTCCATGGCCCGCGGCCCACTGCCGCCTCCCGCAGCCCACAGTGTGCAGGTCCAGGGGGCCTGTGTCCAGACCTGGGGAGGCGGCTGGCTGCTGCCCTGACAGCCCTGGCTCTCAGCCCACGGGTCTCAGCTCTGCCGAGTCCACGGCCCACGGCCACTGCTGTCCGGCCCTGCGGCTCTCTCTCCTGCGCCTCCCCGACTCCTGGCACCTCGGACACCCCGGGGGCCTGGAGTCACCCAGCAGGCTGCGGGCCTCCCACAGGGGACCCCAGGAAGCTGAGTGGCGGATGAGGGACCAGCCTAAGGAGCCGCCTGAGCGGGGCGTCTGCCCTGGAGGAGCTCTGGGTCTACCTGAGTCAGGCAGTCCTCCGCCCACCAGGCCCCGGGAGGCTGAGCTGCTCCGCCCAGCTCTGCTCCCTCTGCAAGGAGCCCCGGCCCTCCCGGCTGTTCCCTGACCCTGGAGAGCCCTGCACTGGCTCGTCTGCAGCCATTATTGCCCCGTCTCTGTCTGCCACTGCGTGCTCCTCTCTCGGAAAACATCCTTCTGGGGCCAGCAGAAGGGAGGGAGGGTCATTGCTCACTATTCCGGGTGTGAGCACTGCCCTTACAGTATCTCAGCTAATACTCCCAACAGCCTATGGGGCAAGTGCTGTCATGACCCCTTTTCTTCCCAGGAAACGGAACAGTCTCAGAGATTCCGTAACTGCCTAAGGCCGAGGTGTCAGCCCAGCCGGGGAGCTTGGACACCAGCCGGGTGCCCCAGACCAGAGCCTCTCCGACGACGAGGGCTGAAGGACCTGTTTGTTTAGTTTTGAATGGACTTCCCAATCTAATACTGTTGCAAAACATGATAAAAGTAAATTACTAGAAAAATGAAAAGAAAAGAAAGGATCCACAAATTCTAAGGCCTGTTTGTTGTTGTCACATCAACAGACACAACACGATGCTGTGAGGTGGTTGTGACAGTTTTTAACGGTGGACCAGTGCCGGTCTGTGGACCACGCCACCTGCTGCCGGAAGAGCGTGCCTCCGGGCCGTCCTCAGGAAGGACCACTCGAGAGCGGACGGACGGGGGCTCCCAGCCCAGCCCTGCGCTGCGGGCCCACATTGTCATACTGGAGGGGCTGCAGTGACAGGGGGTCTCGGCATGGGGACGCTGAAACACCATAAGGCCAGGATTTTAAAATATGGGCTTCCTCAGTTTCTGGGGCCTGATAGGTGTCTAGACACTCAGGACTCACGTTACAACATGGCGGTGGTACTTCCGATGGCGGCCCCCCTTCAGGGAAGACCCGCCTCAACTCTTTAGGCCCCCTGGGGTGAGCATAGTCTCAGAGACGGTCCAGGGCTCACGCTGAGGCCGGGGGAAGCCAGACCCTGTTCAGTCAATGCGAGACGGGGGCGGATCACGCCTTCGTAGCCACTGACATTCAATGGATGTTTACAAAAGCAAAAAGAAGGAGGTGATGCACAGGAAAATGCTTCATAAATTCTAAGATTACCCAGGTGAAGAGAGAAGATGGCTTATTACTCACAGCCTCAGAGGCTCTCTGAGAGCTGCTCCAGGGCCAGATTCACTCTTTAAGTACTCGCTTTATTGATTAATTCATTTAATAAGTACTTACCTAGTAGCATATACTCTCTGCTGGGGCCCTGGAGTTCTGGTGAGGAGGCAAAGGCAGCTGTCGGTACACAGGCCCCGCCTTGAAGGGTCCCCACGGTCACTGGGGTCTTTCCCCCAGGGGGCAATCCGCGGGGATCTTGGAGAGATGGTGGAGGCCGCCCACACCGGCACGGGCAGCCCCAAAGCCTTCCTAGAAGAGATGACGTCCCCAAGGGGACTGTTAAGTCAGTCACGCAGCATCCACGCGGTGGAATGTAATGCTGTTATTGAAAGGTTGGAGTGCGGCTCCACGCGTTACCCCGGGGAGCTGCCGGGGCGCAGCATCCAGTGGAAAAGGTTGAAGAAAGCGGGCGACAGCAGAGCACCCATAACGTGATGCCATTTGTGTCAGCTTCCCGGTGACTCTTCAGTACGTTAGAATTGCCGGTGGGTGTTTAAACCAGAGAGCATCTTGCCATCGTCACAGCCCCACCCCGACGTAACCCTGAGCTGAGCACGCTTCTGGGCCAGCTCTGGGCCTGACGTCAGCTCAGCTTCCTGAGGGAGTGTGTCATGGTCTTCAGACGTTTCATCTCAAAAAAGCTTGTGAGTGACTGTCTGTCTGTCTGTCTGTGTGCACAGAGAACACACCGTTAGGCTGTCAGTTGTTATCTCTAGGGGTGAGATTCAAGACTTTTCATTCCTTCTTTTTACTCTTTTGGCACTGTTTGAGTCATATAATAACCCTGTACAGCTTTTTAAAAATGACACCTTTATTGAGACTTAATTTACTTACCATAAAATTCACCCTTTTGAAGTGTTCAATGCAGTGTTTTTAGTGTATTCACAGGATTGTGCTACATCATCACTATCCAATTCCAGAACATCTTGTTCACTCCGAAAAGAAGCCGGGCCCCCATTAGCGGTCACTCCCCCTTCCTCTCTCCCCCAGTTCCCGGCATCTTTCATTCTCTGTGGATTTGCCTATTCCAACACTTCAAGTAGATAAAATCATATCATCCATGGTCTTTCGTGAGGGGCTTCTTTCGTTTGGCATAACGTTTTCAAGGTCCGTCCATGTGGTTGCATGTACTTCATTGCTCTTTATTGCTGAATAATATTTCATCCGTGTATTACTGTTACAAGTATTTTACAAAAACCTGGTCAGCCCGGAGTTTGGTGTAAGAGTGGAGAAGATACCTAAATTGTTAGCACTGGGGGCCGGCCCTACGGCCGAGTGGTTCAGTTCGCGTGCCCCAATTCGGTGACCCAGGGTTCCCCCATTCGGATCCGGGGTGTCGATCTACACACCCCGCGTCAAGCCATGCTGTGACGGTGTCCGGCATAGAACTAGACTGACTTACAACTAGGATATACAACGATGTACTGGGGCTTTGGGGTGAAAAAAAAAAAGAGGAAGATTGTCAACAGATGTTAGCTCAGGGTCAATCTTCCTCAGAAAACAAAAACAAAACAAAAATTTTAAAAAATTGTTAGCTTCACTCACTTCTCCGACATGTTTCTCTTGAGCATCTCTCGTTTGAGGTGCTGGAGGTGTGCGTGTGAACAGGCAGAAAAGACCTGTGCCCTCAGTACCGGGATTCGAGCTGGCAAGGAGCAGACAGTAAACAAAGAAAGAACGAACTGAATAATTTCAGGTGACGGTAAGTGCTCTGAAGACCAGATGACAGGACGACGTGCTGGAGAGGCTGGCAGATTGGGAAGGGCGTCTATTTCAGATAGCGTGTTGGGAGAAGGCCTCTGAATAGGTGAGATCTGAGCTAAGCACGTCTGGGGAGAAGACGGGAGCCACAGGAAGAGGAAACAACAGGCGGGCCTGGAGACAAGAGCAAGACGGGTGTTGCTGAGAAACGGAAAGCTGTGTGCTAAAGCGGGTAAACACTCGTGCTGCCAGCTTAGACTGAAAAGTGGACTTGGAGGGCTCAGAATGCACGGCGTCTTGGAGGCCCGAGTGAACAGTGGGTGTGTCGTCGTTCTGGGCAGACGGGAGGCCATAGCTTTAAATTGGGGAGTAACCCAATCTGATTTACACTTTGAAAAGCTGACTCTGGTGGCTGAGTGGAAAACATGGTTGGGAGCAAGAGTGGAGGCCATTGCCACGGTCCAGGGTGGAGATGACCGTGCCGGGGACGAGGGCGGAGCAGCGGAGATGGGGAGAATTGAGCAGACTAGGATTATATTTTGGCGGTAGAGCCGAAAGGACTCGTTGATGAGTTAGATGTGAGGCACAAGAAATGGAGGAATCCACACTGGTGTCAATGCATCTGCTCCGAGGATGGCAATGCAGCAAGGGGCCCAGGCCCGGATCACAAACGGTCACCGCTATTGCTGCTATCATGGCAAACTCTCTTCCCAGGCCTGTGGGGGTCAAGGTAGGGAAGGCTAGGCTGGCACCAAGGCCAGACTTGGGCGCACAGGACAAGTATGGACAAGCCCAGAGTGGCTTGATGAGGCACCAGACAGTGAATCTTGGGAGAAGAGAAGTGAGGCTGCCCCAAGAGGCTGGTACCTATGACAACCAAGACCGCTGTGCCCTAACTGCTCTCCCAGAGACCTCAGACAGGGCCTGCTGTGTTCCTCAGGCACCCAAGCCACCTGGGGGATGGGGCGAGGCCCTCCCACCCCATTCTCTCCTCCTTTGTAACCATAGACACACGCTGTAACCTGAGCTGGCCTCTCTTGTGTGTGGGCGGGTGTGGTGGTGTGGGCCTGGGGCCAGAGAATGGAGCAGAATGTCAGCTCCGTTGGCTGGCTGAGCTGGGTGACAGCGCTCTGCAAACAGACTCGAGTCACGAACCCAACACAGCACTCAGCTGGGTTGTCATCTCCCGCAGCACCAACAGCAACCGTAGCTGCAGAGGGTGGGGCTGGTCACACTGTGCTGACCGGCGTGTCCCAGCTCTGCTCTGGTCGGGGTTATCCTAGGAGACAGCTCCCCATGAGGGCAGATTAACAAGAGTAGTGGGGTGGCCTGGGGGACCCTGTGGTCCTCACTGGAAACATTTCATGGGGGAATGAAGGTGGGTGAAGAGCTAATTAAGTGGCCTTTGCTGATTTCCTTCCCCCCACTCCTTTATGGGGAGAGACAGTCTCCGCTGAAACTACAGGGGTTAATTTGTGGAGGGGCTGAGGGCCTGGGACGGGGCTTTGAGAGGAGCCCCATCATTCTGAAGGAAGAGTGGAGCCCCAAGTGTCTGATCGGCCACAGCTAGGGTAAGGGCAGCGCAGGGTTGAAGGGGAGACCCTGATACATCTGGCTACGACTAGGGGACAAGTGTATATTAATTCAACGAACACCTGTGGAGCATCATGTCTGTGTAAGACAAAGCTGAATCAAGTGTGAGTTCTGTCCTTAGGAGCTTAGAGTCTGGTGAAGCTAAGCCAGGAAAATAAATTCCTTAACAGCCTGTTCCCACTTACCTCTCAGTTTCTGCTCTCTCCCTTGATCCATGCATCCATCCACCCATCTATCCGCCCATCCGTCCATTTATTTGTCTATCCATCCATCCATCCATTCATCCATCCATTTATCCATCCATCGATCCATGCATCCATCCACCCATCCGTCCATTTATTTGTCTATCCATCCGTGCATCCATCCATTTATCCATCCATCGATCCATGCATCCATCCACCTATCCATCCACCCATCTACCCATCCATCCATCCATCCAAGCCCTTACCACATTGTTGGTTGGTCATCTCTCCTCCACCAAAAGTAATCAGGGAGTGTGTCTTGGGCACACTGTGTGCTCAGCACTCAGTACAGTGCCTGGTGATTAGTGGGTAAAAGTTTGTTGAATGAACAAATAACTGTATGATCGACTATAATATAACACAGTCTGAGATAAGTGCCATAAGAGAAGTTTTTATTTCTCTTTATTGCTCATATTAAATCTCAGGGTCTGGAGCATAGTGGTTGTTCAATAAACCTTAATTTAAAAAACCAACAGGAAATGAATGAATGAATGAATGGATCTGTGAGGAGTTCAAAGAAGGGAAAAATTAGGTCCTTCTGGAGAAAGGGACACATGAACATGGAAGAAAGAGGTGGTATCCAGGAAGGCTCTCTGGTAGTAGACCACTCGAGGGACCCTCTGAAGGCCTTGGAGGTGGCAAGGGCACCTTGAAGAACAAAATGGCATGGTTAGAAAAATCTGGACTCGGTCGTTGGACCCCTTGCAGAACTTATCCTTCTCACTGGTGGCTTGTGGACTTGTTCTTGTCTTGGTATCACCAGGAGAAAACATGAAATGCTTGAAGTGAGGAAGCTCAGAAGTGGGGACCTTGCACTGAGGTCGCCCAGAAGATAAATCAAGGGCCAATGAGCGTGGGTCACTGGAAGGCAGGTGGTGTTTTAGAAGAATTCCCACTAGAGAGTGAGCAATTTCCTGAGACGGGGACATGGGTTGTGTAGGCAAAGACTGGATGTCAAGGGGCCAATCAAAGTCTTGGGAGCCAACCAGTTCTCATTGCCAGCTCCCAATGTGGGTAAACCCACAGTGCTGTTACCCTTGGTCCCTGTGGTCACTGTGCCTCCCGTGTGCTCATCTCCACGGTGCAAGGGGCTGCATCTCCCTTGATCTGAACTCCCATTCTCTCCCCACCCACCCCCCCAGACCCTCTCTACCTTCTGGCCAGAGGCTCAGTGGACACAGTGTTGCTTCTCGTCTCAGTAACCGGGCCTCCCATCTGGTTGCAGGGCCCCAAAATCAAGGTGTTATCCCTGACCCTCCTGCATCCCTCCTACCTCATATTTAACCCATCGGGAAGTTCTATCAAATTTCAAAAACATTCTAATTCTCTCTATCCAATTCTATCTTCCCCGTTGTACCCTAGTCTCAGCCACGACCTTCTCCCACCTGGGCTACTTACCACATTAACCCCTCAGCTCGTCTCCGGGTGTCCCTCCTTTGCCCTCTGCAGACAGTCTCCACGGGGTAGCCAAAATGTTTTAAGAAGGTTCTTTTGAAGGAAAAATATTTCCTACTTGGAATTCCATACCTACCCAAACTATTGACCAAGCGGGAGAGTGGAACACACATTTTCAGTTATTAATAATCTCAAAAGAGTTACCTTCCACATATTCTTTCTGAGGAAGCTATGCTCCACCAACGAGGGTCTGAAGCTATTTTCATTTCTGATCGTTAGGACAGGTCCCTCTGTCTGTGTATTCACACAGGCTCGTAGGGTCTCTTTATCCTCGGTGTTCTGAAAGTTGACCATGATGTACCTTAGTGTATTTCTATTTTCAGACATTGTTGTGGGCACTTGCTGTGCCCTTTGAACTTGGTAACTGAAGTGTATTTCAGTTCAGTTTGGAGAAATTTTCTTGGACTATTTCAGTAAGGATTTTCTGACCCCTGTTTTCTCTCTTCTTTCTAACAAGAACTGCTATTTTTCATGAGCTTGATGCTCCAGGGGTAATGTTTTCTCTCCCATTTCCCATCTCATTGTCTTTTAGCTCTTCTTTCTGGAACATTTCCTCAACTTTATTTCCAACTATCTATTGAATTTATTATTTCCACTTTTGTGCATGGAATTTCCAAGAGCTCTTTTATGTTCTATAAATGTTCTTTTTTCATAGTACTCTATTCTTGTGCATTTGTTTTCTATTGCTACACAACAAATTACTCTAAAACTTAGAGATTTAAAGCAACAATAAGCGTTTGTTGTCTCTCAGTTTCTTTGGGTCAGGAACTCTTGTGGGGCTCGGCAGCGTGAGCTCAGGATCGGTGTCTCTCATAAGCTCCACTTAAGATGCTCCAGTGTTTACCGCCTGGTCTTATCAGTTATCTTGTGATGTTGTCCTAATTAGTGGGTTCAAACTATGCTTTCCCAAGTTCTCATAGTGTCAGGGGCCTCGCTCTTGAAGGCAGGCTCTGGGGAGATGTGGGGCAGAGCGGCTCCAGCTGTGGGTCCCTCTCCCCGCTTCACTCACAGGGACCCCCAGCTCCGGGTTTCTTTGTTTTGTGTGTTAGATTTTCCTGTAAACTCTGATCTGAAGAAAGAGTTCTAAGGCTCAAGCAAGTGTGAAAATCCCTGAACTGGACCATTTTAATTCCAAGCTAAACTTACTGAGGCTGCCAATAAGCACAGGAAAAGATGCTCACATCATCAGCCATCAGGGAAACGTGAATCAAAACCACAACGAGACAAAACTTTACACCCAATGGGTGCCCTTGATCAAGTAGACAGACAACAACAAGTGTTGGCAAGGATGGGGAGAAACTGGACCTCTCCTACCCTGCTCGTGGGATTGTCAAATGGTGCAGCCACCTTGGAAAAGAGTCTGGCAGTTCCCCAAAATGTTAAACATAGAGTTATCACACGACTCTGCAATTCCACGACCAGGCAAGAGTCTGAACACATATGTCCACGCAAAAACTCGTACACGAGTGGTCGTAGCAGCGTCCTTCGTTAGCAGTCAGCAATCCTTCAACTGATCAACAGAATGTGCTCTATCCACACACTGGGTTATTATTCAACCATGACAATGAGTGGAGTGTTCATTCACGCTACGACATCAGGAACCTTGAAAGCACTAAGCTAAATGAAAGACCACACAGTGCATAATTCCGTTTATGTGACCCGTCCAGAATAGGCAAATCTATAGGGACTGGAAGTAGATTACTGGTTGCCTAGGATGAGGGTGCAGTAGTTGGGGGAAAAAGTGGAGTGACTGCTAATTTATATAGGGTGTCTTTTTGGGGTGATGAAAATGTTCTCAAATTGATTGTGGTGATGTTTGCGCAACTATATGACTACACTAAAACCCATTGAATTCTATACTTTAAATAGGTGCATTGTATGGTACGTAGTTATATCTCCCTAAAGCTGTTTAAAGAAATAATCGTCGAGGCCGTGCTATTACGGGGAGAAGTGTGTTAAATCTCCACGAGAGAAAGAGAGAGAGAGAGAGAGAGAGAACGGCTTGTCTCCACACCGCCTGTGTCTGCAGAACCCAGAACAGTGCCTAGCAGCCAATGTTTGTTGAATGAATGAATGGTAAACTGTGCCATTGTCACACAGAGAGGCACTGCCTCATCACCCTTCAGGGCAGATCCTGCTGCCCGGATGTGGGGAGTGAGGTCACCGAAGCTCCCAGCTGCCAGCTCCGTCTGGGTCAGCCTCGGTTTCAGAGAGCCCGAGGTCACACCCTTCCTGGGGCAGCCTGGATCCAGATCCAGCGACTGAGTGAGTTGGGGTATGAACCCCTGCCATCGTGAGCCGTGTGGGACAACTCTGACAGGCGGCCCTCCCTCCGGAGCTCCCTCGGGCTGGTCCCGGCTCCCACAGGCCTGCACGGCAGTGCGATGCCTGCTCTCTGCCCAGTCCTGCTTTTCACCTTCCTTCAGAAGTGTTGACCCTCGTACGTCCTCACACTCGGGCTCTGTGTCGGCGTCTGCTTCCAGAGACCCAGCGTGCCAGTCGGGAGTGGTCCAGGAAAGCAGGTGGTGAGGCGCGGCTTGGCAGCTGGAGTTCTGCCTGCCCGCCTGGCAGTGAGGACCCCATCGCTGTGGTAGGCGGAGCACAGAGAACCCTTGGGACACGTGGCATCATTAAAACTCCCACTGGCGGGAAATTGGGGTGGTGTGCCCGGGAGAGAACGCCCTGGAGGGTGCGACAAACCAGGAGTCTCACAGGTGTTGGGGACATGGCGTCCGTCAGGAGAAGATGCTGGAAAGGCTGCTGGTGCTGTAAGAAAATAGGGAACAGCGGAGGGGGAGCTGGCAATGGCAAGTCAGGGGTGACAGTCAGTGGCCTGTTGGGGTGGGCACAGAGACACTCATGAGCTGTAGGGCGAGCCCAGGAAATGAAGGCCAGGCCTGGGACTGAATAGTGAGAGCAGCTGCATTTCAAAGCCGGTGAGATATTCAACCACGGCTAGTCTGTTAGACCAAAGTCAGAGCCCTGGTTAGAGAACTCTGGGCCCCGACACGTGGGACGGAGGCATCTGTGGATGGAGACATCGAGTGAAGGTCCTCAAAGATTGCAACAGCCCGGGCTCCTCTGAATCTGCAGATGCGCCCCCTCCCCCATATTAAGAGCTAGCACGGCCTCCCCGGCTTGAAGGCAACGACATAGAGGCCTCTCCCTGGCAGGACGACTTGCACCCCATCAGGACCTGCCCCACCGCCTATTCTGGCCACTAGGCCTTCAGGTCGCCATGAAACCCAGCTGGGGAGGTGCTGGGCCTAACGACAGAGAAAGGACTACGTTCCAAATGAGCCACGAGAACCAGTCAGCAAATACCGCCAGCCCCAGGGGTGTGCCTGGATCTGAGGATGCTTGACTAGGGGGCTGGGACGTAGAGTGGACAGGAAGAATTCACTGCTGTTTTGAGCTCTCCTGAGATACGGCATTTAGCACCCTGGCAAGGACCTCAGGGGATGGTGTGAACTTGGTATAAGGATGGCTCTTGCAGCCCTGAGACCAACGGCAGCCAGGATTGCCTGTGTCCCGCCAACCTCCCCTCCTAGGTATCCCATCAGGAAGAATGGTCCAGAGGATCCCGGAGGAGTTGCTGCCTAGACAGGTACGGAGAAGTGGACCTGAGCGACAGAAGGAGCAGGCTGTGTGGACAGGGAGATGCAAGGCTCCAATCTCCCTTCCAGGAAGGGCTTGCTGCCCCGCCGTGGGGTGGGGGGTGTGGTCAACAGCCAGCTTCCAGCTGTGAGCTCCTTCAGGGTCAGACTCGGCTGCAGGGGCCACCCCACCCGGCTCGCCCCTTCTTGGGCATCCACGTCCGTAAATGACGGCGGTAGGGGTATGAAGACCTGAGTGCCTTGGCCCCACATGGGACGACCCGAGGGGGTGCTCACCCCCGAGCTCCCTGCCAGCTTGGCTGAGGCCTCACTGGGCCACACTGCTGTTCCCCTGTTCCCTTCACCTGGTCCTGCTTCCTGCCCTTCCGCTCACGGAAAACAGCTTGCATCCCAAACTCTGACTCAGCATCTGCTTCTGAAGAACCCAGCGGGGACATGCTGACACAGGTAGGTCAGAAGACGGTCTCCCCTGCGTAGCTGCTCAGTAGCTATGAGAAGCTCTGCAGAGAGGACCCTGTTGGCATGTCCATTCACCTCTGCCTCTGGTCTGGATAACCTGCCCTGAGTACCCTGGACCCGCCAGAGGTCACCCAGCCCCTCCCAGTGTGCGCTGGTTCAGGACCAGGGGCCCCAGCAGTGCCCAGGAACCCCTGAATGTGCTGGTTTGCAGCTCAGCAGAGAACGCTGGACTGAGCCCGAGGTTGGGGCTCTTGGCTAGTAGCTGAGGGTGAGTGAATGGACAGGATTACCCACGGAATGGGCTCGGGGCGGGCGAACTGCGATGTCTTCCAGGAGAGGGAAGAAATGCCAGTGAGGGCACCTCAGAGTGGAGCCCGCTACAGCATATTGACTTGGGAGCCCATGTGGGGTGGCTCCAAACCGAGGGAAGGGGTGTGGCTTTGACAGAGGCCAGACAGCGCTAGAACACAGGCGCACCGACTCTGCGTAGGGTGTCCACTTCGAGCATCACAGCTGGGCGTCTCGGGCACGTGACTTAACCTCTCTGTGCCTTGATCTCTCCACCTGTGAAGTAGGGATTCTCTCTGTTATGAGCACGGGAGGAAGTAAAGCTCTTTGAATTTGACACAGTGTCGCCTGCAGCTATCACACGGGGCCGGAGGTGGGGGGAGCGCACCTCCGGCATGCCTGGGGCAGTGCCGGGCTATGCCTCCTGTTCCAGAATAATCCTTAACAGTGCCCATTCAGGCTCAGCTGTGTCCCAGCTTGGATACGTTCTAGGGTCACCTTCACGTTATCTAACTTATTCATCGAGAGTCTCAGAGGTCGAGATCACTATCCCAGCTGACAAGTAAGAATTAGGAGGCCCAGAGAAGGCGAGCATTGCTGGTTGGCCAGCCTGGGTTCCTGAGGACAAGGGCTCCCACCCCTAACTGGAGAGCAGCACCAGAGGGTGAGCCCCGGGAGGGCAGAGGTGCCCATCCAGCCTGGGCCAGACAAGCCGCCCAGAACCTGGCCGCCGAGACTCGGCCCCGCCATGCCTGTGCACATGGCACTCCCTGGCAGCCGGGCCCCTCCAGGGCAGTCACCAGCCAGAGTCCTTTTGCTTTTGTTTTTGCTTTTCTCATCCTTTGGTTTATAACTTTCAAAGGATGTTGCCTTCACCTGGGATCTTCTTCTCACCACACCTAGGGCCTCTGGTCCCGTAAGAGCCAAGGACTTTACGGGCTAAAGGGCTGGCTTGAGGATCCCGGGAGGGGGCAACACCCAGGGCATGGGTGAGGCCAGAATCACAGGGACCCCTGATTCGAGTTGTACCAACTCTTGCCCTGAATTCCCTGGTCGTGTTCTCGCATTTCCTACTGGCATATGTGCCATTCTTGCCCTCACTTTCCAAGTGGAAACTGCAGCCGCGGGGGCACCCCGGCCAGCACGAGATGGTGCAACCAGAATTTGGACCTGGGTTCATCTGCGGACCCTGGATTGAGCCCTGGCTACAGAAGAGTGTGGTGGGGGCATGGAAGGGAGCATAACTGTGCTCTGGCCACTCAAAGGCAACAGGGGAGTGTTCAGAGAGATGTCACTCATTCACTCCACAACCACTGGGTACTTACCAGGTGCCGGGCCGTGAGGACGGCAGGACGGCAAAGACCTGGTCCCAGCCCTCTGGGAGCGCGGTCTGGGCGGAGGTGCAGGTAAACAGCTTAGTGTAGACTGTTGACCTGCCTGCTGTGTCAGAGGTGTGTGCTTCACGGGATGGGAGCAATGAACTCTGCTGTGTGTAAAACAAACACGCGTTGATGGGGAGCTTGCCCTGTGTGAGGCACTGCTCAGGTTGTGGAACGAGACCCAAGAAGGGGAGGGCAGCCTGGACAGAGGGGCAGCCCGTGCCATGGCGTGGAGGCACCGGGCACCATGGTCCCCAGGGGAGGGGGTTGCATGAGGACTTGGGGGGTCAGGCTTGGAGCCCGAGGCCAAGCCACGTCACGGAAGGTGGTGCAGGACCACACGAGAGGCTTGCATTTTATCCCGTAGCTGGGGCCTGCCCAGCCTTTTGGAGTGTGAAGACCCCTTTTTCTCAAAGGCAGTTTAAACACTTCTGTGGGCCGCCACTGAGGCTAGGAGTTTGGCTTTGAGTAGCTTCCTATGCAGAAAATACACGGGCACTTGTGGGTTCTTTCAAGGTGCTCGCCTCTCTCCTGCAGCTCTGTGCCCTCCCCACACTTTCAGACCTGCGGATCTGTGCTGGCGACCCCTACCTGCAGCTTTGACAGCTTCCCTTGGTCCCCGGGTCAAGTCCACGCTCCATAACCCAGCTTGGCAGCCACATGTGGTCTGACACTTGCCTCTCTCTCCAGCCGCATCTTGAGCCTGGCTCTGTTTCCCTCTCTGCTCCCATCACGCTGGCCTCTATTTACTGGTAAACTGTTCTGTCCAGGCGCGGACGTCATGTTCCTAATTCTACTGCCAGGTGTGCTTTTTTCCATCCTCCTGCTCAGGGTGTAACGGTGCACGGAAGTGAGGGGTCCAGCCAGCTCTTACAGATGCCTCAGGAAGCTTCCCATGCCCCAAACCCATACCGGTTCCTACACTTAACAGAGGGCAGTGGGCACCAGTCCTTCAGAGCACGTGGTGCTGAGCCCCCTCCCGTGCCCTCCCCTCCCCTGCCCCAGGGTGTGGCAGAGTCAGGGCCTGGGCCAAGTCACCACCTGGTGTGGAGTGAGGCAAGCAGGTGTCAGCCTGGCCTCCTGGACTTTGTCTGAGCTCAGTGGGGAGTCTGTTCCGATGGTGAGCATGCAGAACCCCGAGGGCCTGGTCTGTGTGGCGGTGACCCCGTCTCTCCTTTGTCCATGTGCCTTCGAAGTCCTGAAGGTGACTTGTCTCCGGGCGGGGGAGAGGTGATCCCTCTGGACAGGCAGACCAAGCCCCCTCGGGCTGCTTCTCCCTGGCCGACTTCTCTTCTGCACGGAAGGGTGTTGCAGAGTGGGACCTTCTCAGAGGGGTCTGACGCCTGGGGCATTTTGGGGTTCCAGGGGGCCCATCGTAAAGCTTGAACCCCTGACTCAGGTTGTAAGATGAGGCCTAGCACCTGCTCTCATGGGTTAGTGAGAACGGCTGGACCCCTGGGCTAAATTCTGAGCTCTAACCGTGCCCAAGGTGGCTTCCCGGAGGAGCCACCTGCCTCCTGTCTCTCCCAACTGTGGTGAAGGCCCCTAGGGGCCGGGAGCGCGGCCTCGAAGAGTGAAGGGATGGCGGGCACCACAGCCTCCCCACGCCAGGCTGGAGGCCTGGCACTGGGCTCCTAGCAGCCTGGAAAGCTGTTATTCTGGAACCTGATAACGGCCTGGGCTGGGCCAAGATAAGAGGCAGCTGTTTGAAGTCCAGAGTGATAACAGCTTCAGAGAAAGTCGATAAGCGAGTGAGATGCCCTGGGTTAAGCTCTCCCGGCTTGCCAGTTTCAGGAACCAACCCTCTCCCCCTAGTCGGGTTCCCCAGTGCAGCCTGGAGCCTTGGGGTCGTGCCCTCCTGCCCGCCTCGCTCTTGCCCGTTGGGACGGCTCTCGGCCGCCACCCTGCCTTTCTAATCTCATATCTTCGCTGCCATTGGGCCTTCTTCCCAAATGCGTCCCTTCATGCTTTCATTCAGTTAACAAATCTCGTGTGCGTGTCGACTTTGTGCCTGGCATAGGTCTGGCACCAGAGCCACAGCAACGTCCGTGGTCTCTGCTCTCATGGGGCCTATGCTCCAGGTGCTTGGGGACAGACCATAAACCAATAACCACAGTGAGTGGTCAGCACAGTGGAGGAAATGGCAAGGAGGACACTGAGGAGGGTGACCCTGGAGGGACTGGGCAGCTTTAAAGAGTGGTCAGGATGGCCTTTGTAAGGAGACTATCAGAAGGAGCCATGGGAAAACCTTTCTAGAGAGGAGCAAACAGGTGCAAAGGCCCTGGGGTGCGGGTGAGGGTGGGAGAAAATGAAGATTGGCAGAGGCAGTGAAGGCAGCCGCACTGCCCTGGGTTTGATGAGATGACCATATGCAGAATGGGAAGTTGAATCAGAGGAATCTGACTTCATTTTGAAGATGTCACAGTGGCTGCAGTGTGGGGACGGGATGGGAGAGGCAGGCACGATAAATGGGAAGCACAGGTGGAGGGATGAATCCTGGCTCCTCCACTCCCTGTCTGTTCGACCTTGGGGGAGTGACTTCACGTCTCTGTGCTCTGGTTTCACAGGTGTAACACGGGGCTGCACTCAACCCGCTTCACTGAGTCGCGGCTGCGGCCACGTGCTGCCCTGGGACTGATGCAATGGCGAACAAGGCAGGCCCGGCCCCTGCCCTTGTGGGGCCTTGTTCTCACGGGAGGTCAGGCACGGGACCAGAAATCGGCAGGGTGTCCACATGGGGAATTAAAATGGGACGCTTGTCGGCAGGTGATTGGTGTGCGTGGTCAGAAAAGACGCTGGAGGAGGCGACATCGCGCCTGGGGGCTGCCCTCACCCCGGCCCCATCTCACTTGGGAATTTGAAGTCCTCTGCACAGGGCCCCACCAAGGTCCTCCTGCCAGCCTCCCACACACCCTGCCTCGCCCCAAACTGCCCCTCGGCCCCACCTCAACGCCCGCCCAGCACAGCCCGTCCCACCCTGGGATCTGAGAGACGCAGCTTTGTCCCTCCCATTCTCCCCGTGGGGAAATGGGCTGTGGGGTTTGTCTAGCATTCTCCTTCCTGTGCCGCTTCAGCCACAGACCAACAATGAAAATAGAGTTAACAACGTTATAGATAGTAATGAAAATGTAATTAACAAAATCATTTATGATAATTCTATTTAAAAAATATATAAATGATATATGAAATATTTTTGTACTAAGCTATATTACACCATATAATAGATTATATACATAAAATAAAAAATATAATCAACAGTAAGTCAAATAATTATGTCAGGGGCTGATCGGTTCCCTGAAGGAAAACAAAGCAGGGGGAAGGGCTGGGGATGGAGCCGGGGCAAGGCTGGCTCCTGGGTGGGCTCGCCCAGGTGGTCTCTGGGTTAAGGGAATGGCTGAGCAGAGGCCTGAGGTCTGAGACCTGAGCGGGGCCTGTCGTGGGGAGAGACTCAGGCAGAGCGGCTGTGGGGCCAGGGGCCAAGGAGCAGGATTGCAAGCGGAACGAAGAGGACACCAGGGGCCAGGAGGGGGTCTGGGGCGCAGGCAGATCTCTGGGGCCCTGGAGGACGTCAGCTCTGACTCCGAGTGGGAGGGGCGGCTGGAGGGTCTGGCTGCTGTGTGAGGAGCAGGTGGGGCCGTGAGTCCTGTCTCTGGGACGGGACCCCTTCCTCCTGCCTGTCTCCACAGAGCCCAGGCCACACACCAGGGCCCAGGTCACACGTGGTCTGTGGTCCTTGACCTACCTGTGAGGTCCCTCTCGTACCTCAGCTGGGGCTCACCCAGAACGCTCAACGAGTCCCCTGGTCCTGGAGCGGAGGTCCTGAACTTCTGCCCACAGCCAGCCTGGCGGGGGTGGCACGAGGCTCCTCTGGGCCCCCTCCTCGCGAGCACAGGTCTGCACGTGTGTCGTGCATCGTGGAGGCAGCCTGTTGCTATCTCAGTGCCCTGCACCCTGCAGGTTGAACCCATGTGTTTATTCATAGCCTCCTCGGTCAGCTCTTATCTGGTCCATCTCTGCTTGACCATGTGTCTCCCAGACGTTTGAATTAACCTTGACCTTGTAAAAGGTCACAAACCCCTGAGGTGGGGCTGCTGGGAGGGCTCTTCTGGAGGAAAGGCAGGGACCCACATCATGGTCGTGATGCCATAACTTGTGGCCTCAGCTGTACCACGAAGCCCGCTGGGTGAGTTCCCCTCCCTGAGCCTCAGTTTCCCCATCTGTAAAATGATGTAGACCGGGCCAGATCAGTGATGCTTACATTATTTTGAAATACCAAGAAAATCTATGATCTCCCAGGAACGATGGGGTAGCTGCGCAGAACTCGCGTGTGATCCGGGAGGAACTGGCCCAACGCCTCTTCCAGCAGCGATCATGTGATTTTCTGCTCTGACTGCAGCGCTGGCCCCAGAGAGGGGGCTCCAGCCTCGAGGGAGGGGCTGGTTTTAATCTCCAAGCGGTCTAGAGCTTGTCTTTGTTGGATTCCAAAACAGAGATACGAAGGGTCTGCTGGTGGAGGCAAAGAGGGAGTTTGTGAGTTGAGGGGGTGGACACAGGGTAACGGAGGAGGGAAGGCCCCCTGGATACCGTCCCTGGTTCCCCTGTGAGAGACGCAGGGACCGGTGGGGAGGGCCACAAGGCGAGGTGGCCCTTGCGGGAGCAGAGACAGGACCTGGGAGGTGGGCAAAGGTGGGGAGGGAGGTGACAGGCCAGGGGCTGCAGAGCCACGGGCACAACAGGGGCCAAGCCCTGTGTCTCTGGGCAGAGACTCACCCAGCGCCCAAGCAGATGGGGACGAGAGGCTCTGGCGGGTCTGAGGGGTTGCCCACACCCGCCCGCCCGCCTGAGAGGGGATCTGGGAGATGGGGGTGGCCCCGGGCCAAACCAGGCACCACCCTCTCCTTCTCCCCAGGTAGTGCCTCTTTGCACGTCCACACCCAGTGCTCTGCTGGCAGGGGCTGTAACCTGAGCCCAAGGTGCCAGCGGGAGAGACCCACCCTGCCCTCCTTGGTCCCCCCCAGCTCCCTTCCGCTCCAGGGTGCACACAGGCCCTGCCCCGGGGAGAAAGGTGCTCTCAGTGGGCTGGGGACAGGTGAGGATTAAGGGTGGATGACAGGTTGTCAGCAGCTCCGAGCACAACTCTGCTGGAGTGCCCTTTGATCCAGCCTCTGAAAGCTTGATTATGAGACACAGCCGTGTTGCCATACAGGGGAGAGGCATTGTTTCCAGCCAGACAAAGGGCTCTTTGTGCAGCAGCCCTGGGACCCGGCCGGCCTGGGAGGGAGCCCTGGGGGGGAGGAAGGAGGGCCCTGCCCGGGGAGGGCGGGCAGTGCTGGGTGAGGCGGCGGGTGGCTCCCGCTGAGCCTGCCCCTTGTGGGCAAAGGGCACTGGCAACTTCCCGCTGCCCCCCCCACCCCCACCCCGGGGGCACGTCTGGGCCCTGAGCGAGGCGGGGCTTCTTTCTGAATTGCTCCAGCCTCAGGCTCAAAATGCAGCTGTTGTGGTCCCCGGGAGGGCAGGCCTCGGGTGTTTGCTGCCCCGTCTGTTTGGGGGAAGGGCTGGCTGCTCATTGCCAGGTTCTCTTACCTGAGCACACAGGTCCCAGGGGAAGGGCTTAGGGGTTTGGGGTGCAGAGTGTCTGGGGGCTAGGAGACCTGGAGAAGATTTGGAAGTAGAGTGAAGAAGGGACGCACACTGTGGGGAGGGGGGAGCCGGGTGTGGAGTGGCCTTGTCTCCACCTGCTCTTGCGTCTTCCCTGGGGCCTGGGTGTAGAACACCCTCAAATTTTGCAAAACAAATCAGGCTGTTGGATGGGGGGGAGGGTTGCCCCCTTCCCGTTCATTTGAGGGAGAGAGTCTGGAGGGGTGGGGTTCTGCCCACCCCCAATTGCAACCCTCACCCATTTGTTAGTTAAATCCACTCCCTTCCCACCATCCCATCCCTTCTGTCCACAGGTGAGGAGACCTGGGTGGGCCTGGCCTAGGCAGGCAGTGGCTGCTGTAGGGCGGGGAGCTGGGCTTGGCCCGAGGAATTGAGAAAACACATGCTGTTCAGGGGTGGTGGCCAGGTTTGGGGTCTCATTGGGGCTGCACCTGCAGAGACCAGAGCGGCTCATTTTGGGGAGAAGATGAGTAGAAAGTGTCGAATGCCCACTCCCCAAACATCACCAGCACGACCTCCCGGTAACAAGCCCCGTTTGCCGTTCCCCTCAGTGAAGAGCTGCCGTGTGGATAAGGTTGGGCAGCCCCTGGGTCAGGGTGGGCAAGGTCGGAATGGATGGGGAGCTGGAAATTTGGTTCCAGATGGGACTTTCACAGTGAGGGGCCTTGACGTAATGGGGTGAGGATCACTGTGCAAGTCAAGGATTCGTGGAAAGAGCAAGCTGAGCATTTTAGGTGAAAATTTTAGGGAGCAAACTGCTGCAGACTTCGCAGGGCTTTCTGGAAGTTCCTATAGTGAACAGTCAGGGCTTTTAGCTGGAATGGTAAAGTCACGCTAATGTGGCCGTGAATCGTGGGGGGTGGGTAGTTTCTGTCTTAGGTGTATGTGCAGAGGACAAATACTCCAGGGGCTTGTCTGGGGTTTGGGGAAGGGAGCGGCTGGCAGGTCCGTGGTCCTGGAGAGCGATGAGCAGACTGCATGATGGAGACGGAGAAGCTTTGTACTCTGAGAACTGGGGGGAGAGAAACCCCAGCCGACCCCAGGAGAGGCCAGGACCCGGGCATGTGGGCTGGGAACGAGGTCCACAGGTGCCAAACCAGGCCCCGCCTGTGGAGACGGGCTGTGTTGACTTTGGCAGCCCCACCCCACACCTCCTTCTACCCCAGAAGGGCCTGAAACTGACACTGGGCCCTGCCAGGGGCTGGAGATGTTCCCAACCCCGTCCTGCTCGGGCCGGCTGTGGCAGGCTGCTGCCCTGGCAGAGGAGGCCCGCGGGCATGCAGAGGGGCGGGCAAGGGAGGCTGGTACCTGGGTCCAGCTAGTTGATGCCAGGACTAGGGGACATCAGGACTGAATGAGTGACCTGTTCTTGGTCTCAGACTGAAGACCTGGACAGACAAGGCAGTGGGAGAGAAGAGATGAGCTCTGGGGACATCAGCTGTCATCCTGTGGGCTTGTCTTGAGCTGAAATCTAGATAGGTACTAATCCCGCATCTCCACAAACCATTTTACAGGTGAAGGAACCGAGGTGTGGAGAGCTTCCATGACTTGGGCAGGCAGACGGGGTGGAATTCAGAGTGAAGTTTCTGTGGCTTCAGAGGCCAACTCTGCCGTGCCACTTAGCAGCATCCTACTGGGCTGTTCAGGATCTCATTCCCACAGATGCCAAGAAGGGAGCTCAGATCACTGAAGGGACAGCCAGGAACAGACCTGGGGAGAAGGAGAGGAGTGAGGAAAAACACAGTCAGTCCAGGGGGATGGGCGGGAACAAGACGGGGAGGGACAGATAGAAGGGGGAGATGAAGAATGGGGGTGTGGGCGTGTGTGCACGTGTGTGCATGCATGCACACCTGTAAAACTGATGTCAGGAGGGGAGACCCCCTCCTTTGCCTCTCTTGAGTTCTTATGACCAGATGAATAACAGTAATATTGACACAAGACCATATTAACAGGAGAAAAATCAATTTAATGCCTGTGCACGGGAGATCATAGAAAAGTGACGCTCCCCAAGATGGGTAAAGCAGGCTGCTTTTATATCTTTTATATAAAGAAACAACAAGTTTATGTGGAGTTGACAGGACAAAGACACTTAGGTTTGGGGTATGTAATTAGTGAGGAATTTGAGGAGAGTTTAGGCTTGAGGTAGTAAATTAGTAAAAGTCACAAGGTTTGTTTATGCAGCTTCTCAGCCCTGAATCCCTGGCTCTGGGAACAAAGATGCAGGGAGCACCCTTCACATGGGAGATTCATTTCTTGCTTTTAGGAGAACAGAGAGAAGAAGGTCAAATTTTTATGTCGAAACAAGTAACTTAAATTCAAAATAATCAATATGTCATTGTGGGATATTTTGGGGCAGCCTGCCCTGAGCCCCAATGCTAATAACATTCCAAATTTTTAAAACTTATTGTCCCTTTTCAGAAAGAGGTGGGAACGGGTGAAATGGGGCCCCAAGAGAGCCAGTGAGGGACAGAAACGGGCTGAGCCAGGTGCAGAGCTGGGGGTGTGTTTGGGGGGAGGGCAGCAGAGCAAAGGGCAACCAGGAAGACAGGATGGAGGGCAGAAGGAGCAGGCTCTTCTCTGGGCCGGCTCCCCACGGTGCCCAGGCCTCCAGCTTGTCACCATGGCCGCGGCTGGCCGAGGACTTCATGACCCTCCTCTGCTGCCCATGGGTACTCCTCCCGCCAAGATGTTGCCTTGCCGCAGGCTAAGAGGTGTGTGGGGTGGGCAGGGCGTTTAGTGGGTCAGAGATACTGATGGGAGGGGCACTGAAGGGTAGGGCAGGGCCTCGGGGGTGCCCTGGGCTCTGGGCAACGGGATGTGAGGGATGGTCCCCCGAGAAGAAAACTTCCTGTCTGGTGATGGGTGCCTCTGTGTTTCCAGTACTCTAGATTGAGAGAGAGTGAAAGCTTGGGTCCCAGGAGAAGCCGGGACCACCTTTCCTGAGGACGCCAGTCGAGGTCTCTCCAGCCCTAGGACCTCACCCCATATATCTCTCCTCCACGCCTCAGCCTCCCCACAGGGACTTGATTACAACAAGCATAACCAGCATGTGGTGTTTACTGAGAACATACCTGGGGCCAACACTTGGTTAAATGCCTTGCTTTATCTGTATTTCTAAAACTTGCAATGACCTGGCAAGTTAGGTATTCTTGTACCCATTTTACAAATAAGGAAACTGAGTGTCAGGGAGGTAAGTAACTTCCCCACTTGGTCTAGAATCCCTGTCTGGGCCTGATCTCTCCCCCAGAGACTACCATCCTCATCAACAGCCTCCTTTGGAGACTGTCCTCCCTGGGGAGCGAGGTCACACAGCCACCGAGCCCTGAGCACCCCCTGGGGTGTGCAGGTCACCATCTAAAACGTAGGGCATGGCTCCGCTCTCTGTATGCTTCTTCCCTAGCTGTTCTGAGCTTCCTCTCCCCAGACTCAGCCTTCCACTGCCTCCCTGTCTTCTAGACCTTTCCATCTTGTCATCTGAAAGTCCTGATCCGTGAAAACTCTACATGCTCAACTCATCCCTTTCAGGGAGTAGTCCCAGCACCTATGGCTTCAACAGGGAACCTGGCTCCCCTGGGACCCCCTTCCCAGCAGCATCCCTGGGGTGTCTGTGACTCCCTGCCCCCAGGCGCTGCGTGGCCATTGCACAGCAGAGTCACGTCCAGCTGTTGCTGTGAGGCCCCTGCCCTCGGCTCTGCCCTCCCTTTGTCACTCCGCTCTGTGACCTGCGGGTTACTTGACCTCTTTCTTTGGATTGGGGACGTCGTGTATTGGTTTGATACGATTTCAAATCCGCTTGCTTATGACTTAAGTGAATTAAGTTTTAATCCACTTGCTAATGACAAAGACAAACAAACAAAAAGGCGTTTTGATATAGGAATGAAGTAAGTCGTGTCAGGATGCCATCATCTCGCCTGTTGTCGTTATAAGAACTCGGGACCCCAGCTGAGGACGAGCGCTGCCGGGGGTGGTCAGTGTGAACGTGGAGAAGTGACAGTGGGGAGGGGACATTCAGACCATAGATACCCAGGGTTTGTGAGAATTATCCCAGAGTTTCGGTCTGGGTGGGGCAGTCTTTACTGACCTAAATAAACTCTCTGAGGACCGTGGGGCATTAACTCCTGCTGTGGCAGAGCCACGCCCTTATGGGTGGTGGTGACAAACCACACAGCGGCTGTGATGGAGATCAGCCTGCCCGCCAACACCGACGCCTGTTCCCTAGCAACGTGCTCTAGCGACAGGGGACTTTTATTTTGCGCTGGCCCCCCGGAGTCAGCTCTTCTGTCGGTCAAGTCGCCCTGTTGGGAAGGCACACCTCGATTAAATCTGGACTTTATTCCTTTCATCTCCCCTGGCCTGGAACAATAGTGTGATTAATCTGTCGTTGGTTTGGAGTGCGTTGTTATTCCTTTATTGGCTTATTAAGAGACATTATCCTGTATGCTCGTGAAACGATTCTATCTATTGATTCTATCTATCCTATTGGTTTGTGAAATGATTATAAATCCCACAGTGGCCCCGCGATAAATAAAATTTTGGCAAAGACAGTCTCAGTCTCTGAGTGTAATTTTTGCCACCCCGAAATAAAACAGGGGACCTGCTTTGGGGGTCTCTCCTCCTCCTGCCATTATTCTGGGTGATTTCAAAGCCCGCAGAGAAACCCCATCCAGTCCAGGAACCTCTCGTTCCTTGATCGAGACTCCAAAGATCTGTCTCCTGCTCAGCCATCCGTCTCGTGACCGCATCCTGAATTTTGTCACCACTGGGGACTGCCCCACCGCTTAAGTCAGGTTCAAATGGCCCGTGACCTCCCTGGTCCCCCACAGCTTCTTCTAGTCTATTTCTAACAGAATTTTGAAACCTCTGGTCCCAGTGCGGCTGCCTTGTCCCTCTGTCTATCAGCAGCTTTCTGCCTTCTTCCCTCCAAACCCAACTTAGACCTCTCAGCCTCGTTCCAGCTCTTTCCAGCCCCCTTGCCGGTTAGTCATCCCTTTGCCTAAGTCTCAAGTGTTCTTAATTACAACAATAGAATCCATTTAAGCAAAAGGAGATTTTTTTTTAAGGGGTAAAGGTAACTCCCAGAGTTGTTGGGGGGGCCCCAGACACAGAATCTAGGCTGAACTCAGAAAAGAACCCCCAGAGCACTTCACGGGATGAGGATGAGGTGGCCTGGGTCCCGGTGGAGAAGCTGCGTCAGCTGGGGCTGCTGCCGAGGCGGCCGGACCCCGCGGCTCAGCCGGGTCTGCTCCAGCTAGGCTGGTCCCTCAGGGGCTTTCTCTCCAGGCTGGGAACGGAGGTGGCCTTTAGTCTCTACTTGAAATGCTGTCGGTTTGCTTTGCTTTTTTTTTTAAGGAAGATTAGCCCTGAGCTAACATCCGTGCCCATCTTCCTCTACTTTGTATGTGGGACGCCTGCCACAGCATGGCTTGACATGTGGTACCATGTCCGCACCCGGGATCCGAACGGGTGAACCCCAGGCCACTGAAGCGGAACATGTGAACTTAACCGCTGCACCACCGGGCTGACCCCGTATTGCTCTGCTTTTAAGAACACGCCTTATCTTTGTCATTAAAACTGATTGTAAACATCGCTTTCTATATCCAACGTGCCTACCTTCTCGCAGACCACCGGCGCCTCTGGCCACCCTGTAACAGCCTGCCAGCCGGTTTCCAGGCCTCAGCTTGGCTCCTGCACGCGGGGACCCTCTAATTTATTCTCCGTTCTGCAGCAGAGAAACCCTTCTAAAGTGTATCTCTCATCTCAGTGCTCTTAGCTGACATCCTTCCGCGGCTCTCCGCTGCTCTCCTGGACCAGGCCCTGCAGGGCCTGATGGCAGACCTCTCTTGGCACCCTCCTTCTCCTCCCACAGGCTATCTCTGCTGCACCGCAGGCTTGCTGAGCCACTCTGCACGTCTCTGGGCTTTTGCAGTTATATTCCCTCTGCTGGGGAAACTCATCTTTCCCGTCTTCGCCTGGTTAACTCATAAAGTATGCCTACCGAGGTTTTTGCTTAGACGGCACCTCTTCCAGGAAGCTTTCTCTGATCACCCGCCTGGATTAATTGCCCCTCCCAGCTATTCCACAGAGCTATTCTGTGCCACCCGGCTTTGTCACCGCCTGTCCCTCCAACCAGCTGTAAGCTGCTGTGTGGACCATGGCTTGTTTACTGCTTCAGGCCGACACTTGGGAGAGCCTGATGGCGTTCAATACCTGTGAAACGACTGAATTCATGACCACACCCAAGCTCACAGCTCCGAAGCGCCAGACAAACCCCGATGGGCTGTTTTCCTTCATGCTGTGTTGCTTTTCTGAGTAAGTAAGGACAATCTGGCTGTGGGGGTGGTTTTTGTTTTTAAACAGCTTTATTGCTGTATAATTGACATACAATAAACTGCACATATTGAAATTGTACAATTTAATAAATCTTGATGTTTGTCTACACCCATGAAACTAACAGCACATGTCCATCACTCCGAAAATTATCCACCAAGACAGAACAACAGATGCTAACGTCACAGAGTACAAAGGTCACTGATCCAGCCTCCAGTCCACGTCGCAACCAGCCTCTAAGAGAGTCCGTTTGCTGAGTATTGATGTCGTGTCAAAGGATGTGCACAATGTAGGAAAAGGATATTAAATACTCTTCGCCCTTCCAACCCCTCACACATCTGTGTGAAGCTGGGTTTTATTCACGCATCTCAAGCAACACGCCACAGCAGAGGAAGAGCCGAAGCAGAGAGGTGCGTCCATCTGTGTGCTATTAAGGCAGATACCAAAGAGATCTGGGGAAAATGTGAAACAATGCCATTCTTCTCAAGAAATTTTTTGTTTTGGACTATGTAAGTCCTCTGTTGAATAAAAACGTTGTTTTTGCAACAGATAATAGGTTTATTATTGCCATTTTAAAATAGATTTTTAAAATTTGTTCATTTTAATTTCTAACTTGATAAATAGCAATAGATATAACCCATATAAACAAAAGATCATTGGGGTCTTCCATCATTTTTAAGAGTCTAAAGGGGCCCTGAGATCAAAGGATTTGCAAACGGCTGACGTGCAGACAAGGTTGGGCGAGGAGGCCCTTGGGGTAGACAGACAGCCTGCCTTTGAATCTGGGCTCTGCTCCTCTGGGTTCTGCTGGAGAACTGAGGGCGAGTTCACAATCTCTCTGCTCCCTGGTTCCTCGCGTGTAAGTCGGGCATGCTTATCACGGTACTCACTGCAAAGGTTTGGAGGATTAAACAAGTTAAGGCATCAGAAACATTCAGAACAAGCCTGGGACACGGAAAGTGCAGAGTCACTGTTAGACATCGAAGTGGGTCAGGACGTGCCCCCCAAATACGCCACTTGGGCGTAAAGATTATTTTGAACTGAAGGCAATTGAGAAAAAGCAGACACAGGAAAAGCGCTCTGTCCTCGTCTTGTCTGCCTAAAAAAGCAGGGCATAAATTCCCCTTGTGGAGGTGTCCTTCCTCTGGCACCAGGAAAGGAAGAACCATCTGTCACTGCAGACGGAGACCAAGGTGCCAAGATGAGCCTGCACAAGCTAAACCCTTACTGAATAACCCTTCTCTTCTGTTAGTTTCCCCCCCATGTTAACCTTCCCACAATGGGCCACCTCCAGAAGGCCAGACCTCACTTCACACTTTATCACCCTTTGTTCAAACGGTATATGAGCCCCCAAGTTTATCTCTCTCTTTGCATCTTCACTTCTTTTTTTTTTTTTAAGGAAGATTAGCCCTGAGCTAACATCTGCTGCCAATCCTCCTCTTTTTGCTGAGGAAGACTGGCCCTGAGCTAACATCCGTGCCCATCTTCCTTTACTTCATATGTGGGACGTCTACCACAGCACGGCTTGCCAAGCAGTGCCATGTCCGCACCCGGGATCCGAACCAGCAAAACCCAGGCCGCCAAGAAGTGGAACGTGCGAACTTAACCACTGTGCCACCAGGCTGACCCCATTCACTTCTTTTCTGCCAAGGTCTTCATGCACATAAAAATTAAAATATTGATGTCAAATAAAATTTGTATGTCCTTTGTCCTGTTAATCTGTCTTTTCTTTGTTTAATTTGCACATCCCACTTACTGAATCTAAGGAGGTAGAGGAAAAGGTTTTCCTCCCCCACACGATCATCAACATGAGCAGCAGGGTGCCACTCGGCCCAGAGAAGCAGAAAATGCCACCAAAAAGAGCCCTCAAGTTTTAAATCCCTTGTTGAAAAGACCTCTAAACATCACAAGGGTTCTGCCACCTTCTGTGGGATGAGAACCGCCCCAGGGACTGTGCAGAACATAGACGTCTCCATTAGGCCCTGTCTGCATGGAGATCGTAACAGAACGAGCCACAAGCAGGACAGAGTGAGCCCGTGTGGAACAGATAAGAGCCGCAGCTCGTCTCTCACCTGCCTCATCGATAGCCCTGCAGTAAAGTGCTTTCCTGTGCATTTTCTGATTTGTCCTCACAGTGACCCTGATAGAGGCAGGGAAGGGACGAATATCCGTATTTCTAGATGAGGAACCTGAGAGTCGAGAGCTTATGGGAATTAACCGTCGCGGTACAGACAGTCAAGACAAGAAGGCAGCCCTCTGGGGCCTGTCTGCTGTTCCCTCTGAAAAGCTACAGTGATGTTCGTCCTGCAGGAGACGGAAGGCCCGAACAGCCAGCGGAGTGAGTGCTCTCCGTCTCCACTGCAGAGCTGGGACCCCTGCTCCCTGCTGCAGACCCTGCCTGTCCACCCGCCCTCCTCTCCCTCCCTCCCATCTCAGCAGAAGAGCACGCGCCCTGTTGCTGCTTCGGGAGCCCTCCTGCCCAGCCCATGCTCTTTGGACCTTTTCCATCCTTTCTCCTCTCCCTCTTTGTTCAAGCAGCTTACTGGAGGTATCAGTTCCGTACAATAAAATTCACTCCTTTTAAGTGTCTGCCTTGACGAGTTTTGCCCATGCATGCAACCCTGTGCCCACCACCACAACCAAGTTCAGGCACTTCCATCACCCCCCAGAGCTCCTTCATGGTCCATCTCCCCCTCCCTCCCCAGCCCCAGACCACCACCGGTCTTCCCTCTGTCACTACCGGTCTGCCTTTTCTAGGCTATAAATAGTGTCAGGACTCATCTCTGTCCGGCTGTTCTTAACCAGGGTAACGTTTCTGAGATCTGCTCGTCACATTGGATATACCAGCAGACTCTCCTCATTCTTGCTGAGCAGTATCCACTGCGGGATATACTATACTATGCTATCCATTCACCTGTCAGCTGATGTTTGGGTTGATTCTGGGTTTTGGCGAGTATGAATAATGCTCCCCTGAAGGTCCCCATGCAAGTCTCTGCGTGGACAAATGCTTTCATTCCCTGTGGATACTAACCATGGCACCGCTGGGCTGGGTAACACAGGTTTGTTTATAAGAAACTACCCACACCACTTGTTGGTGTCCTATGACGTTAAACACCCTCTCTCCCCTCTATTTTAGTGACACACGCGGAGCCCTCCTTTCCCACGACCACGTATGCTCTCCATCAAAGTATAATTTCCACAAAGTCGAAGACAAGGATCTCCCACATCAATGTAAGCGCACAGCAAAGCTTTGTTTAACTCATTAATAGGCGTAGAGCTGGTTCAGCAGAGGGTGCAGGAGACCACGTGTGTAGAGTTTGTGGGGAAAGAATCCCGGAATCGCAGCGCCAAGTTGGGGACACACTGGTCCACATCCTGTAAGACGATAATGCTGTAACCTTTTCACGTCATCTTCTCCTCCAGCTAAAAACCATTTGCAACTCATCAATTTCCTACAAGTTAGCATCTGAATTCACAGAGCCCCCTCCCCGCCCCCTCCAGGGCCCGCCTCAGCAGGATGGTAAGTCACTGCAGAGCTGTGGTCTCTAAAGCATCCCAGGGTCCTTGGGCCGCCTCAGCAATACTCTGGGACGGTTTTGAAAGACCACGCAGTCATTTTTTGTCTTATTTCCAAATTTTGGATAATTTTTTGTGAGAAGGTACACTAAAATACTCAGAGTTCTACAATATCCCGGTCTTCCCTGTCTCGTCTTTCTGTGCCCAAACTGCCTGTCTCTCCTCCCTGAACCAACCTCCTCCTCTTCCCCTGGCTGACGCTGCTCAGGTCAGAGGTGGGCTCTCCGGCACCTGCCCCCCCAGCGCCCCCACCACGCGGCCGGGTTTGGGCACTTCCTGGGCTCCAGCAGCACTCCTGGCTCCCTCTGTCCTGGCATCCCAGCCTCCTGGGTCACTGCCAGCAGGAGTTTGCCTGTCGGCTTCCACAGGGCGGGACTGTTTTTCCATTTCTGTACCCCCAGGGCCTAGCCCAGTGCCTGGCACCCTGTGAGGTTTAAAGAATGTTTGCTGAATGAACTGAAGGAGGTGCCCTCCGGATTCCTCCTCCCGGTTTCTCCCAGCCTGGATGTCTCATTCCGGGATTGGCTGCCGTGGTTACTCATTCTTTCTCCCTCTCGTCCCCACTTCACTGCAAAGAAAACAGAACAGGCCTCCCCGCCGGAGAGGGGCTGCCGTGGAGAAGCAGACAGGCAGCTCCCCACCCTACAACCCTTCCTGGGAGAGGGGGCGTCCGGCCCCGTGTGCGTGTTTGCGGTCCTCAGAGACCCTGCTGGTTCAAGGGCCCCCGTTTGCACGTACTTGGGAGGAGGGTTTCCGGCCTCCACACCTTTCCCCTGGGCACTAGAAGACCCACTCCAGGGGTAGGCTGGCCCCACTGAGGACGCTTCGAGACTTAGAGACACGCATGGCCCCGACTGTAAGGTAATTTCCTCTCTACATGTGTGCCGGGCTATAGAATTCATCTGTGTGCCTTTACTGCTTTTTATTCTGGGCTTTCCTGGGGGAAATAAGCCCAGATGCCCCTTGAGTGTCAGAGGAGAGGAGCTCGTCACGGGGAGGGGCTGCTGGACTGTGCAGCTCACGGGTCTCTCTCCGCCCAGGTCTCTTGATCGCTGCTCCCTCCCCTCATCACCGAGGCCCAGGCTGGACGGGGCTTTGCGCTCACATCCCAGGGCACAGCTGGGCAAGTGGACAAAGGCATCAGGACAGGAAACCATCAACAAGAGCGGCACGAAATCTCTGGCTGGCCAGACGGTGCTTCCTGCCCGGGGCTCTCACGTCCAGACAACTGTAAAATTTATCCTTTGAGCCCAGACACTGCGGTGGGTGACAGGGGCCTCTTACAGTCCTGACGGGACAGCAGCATCGGCCACGGCGGTCCTGGGCACTCGCTATCCCGCAGCCAGGCCTTTCCTGGCACAGGACCCAGAGAAACGTGTGTCTCCCGGAGAACCCATTTCTCCTACACATTCAGGCTGCCAACCTCTACTCTCATCTCTGCTGGGAATTCAAGAAGCAAGACCCTGGCCCAGGGAGCCTCAGGGAACGGGCAAGGACCACTGTCAGGAGAATGTGGATGCTGCCTTGAGCACCGGACAGAGGACGCCAAGAGGAAGCCAGCGCTGTGGGGGCTCGGAGAGGCGCCTCACCTGCCAGAGAGGGTGCCGCTCAGGCTCAGCCCCTCAGGGGCTCTGGAGGAGAGACTCCATGGGAAGGAAGAGGTTTGGGGTGAATGCAGAGACCCAGGAGGAAAAGCTGCCTGAGAGGAGTCCCAGAGGGGCGAGTGCGTCGGCCCTGGGAGTCGCCAGAAAGCTCCTGCCCTTGCTGACCTTCCTCTCTTCGCTGTCACCCCGAGTCCCCACTCCTGGAGGGGGACCCCGCGTTACCTCCACGGGCCGTCGGCCGGGGGGCACCTCCTCACTGGCTCCCAGAGAAGTTTGTTGAATACACGGCAGGCAAGCACTCTACCCTATTCTTCTGAGATGTAAACGCAGGCTCAGGACTTTGATTATCATTATTAATAGTAGAGTCCTTTTCTATAATATTTTTATTGTGTCTGACACAAAAAGTGAGCCCATAAGGTGACACGCCGGCCTCTTGCTGGACACACAGGGCATCCTGTTTAACCCTCACGACCATCCCGCTGGTGGCTGTCCTCGTCCTGGTTTGCGGATGAGGTGCCGCAAGGCCAGAAACCCACCAGGTCTCAGCTGACGGGTGAGAAGCTGAGATCTGCCAGGATGACCCGATACTCCGAATTCTCTAAATTCCACCCTCATAACCACAACCCTCCCTAGGCAGGGAGGCCTGACTTTGCGTTACTCATAAGTTGGCGAGGGACGGCTGACTCAGTCACCCCTGGGAGCAGCAGCAGGCAGCCGGGTTTCAGAGCCACGGGGCGGGCATCCAGGAGGACCCGGGAGTTTGGGTCACCCCTGCAGCCAGCTCGCTACCCCTCGAAGGGCCGGTTCACCCCACCCGGATCCCTCGCCCTCCTCTCTCCAGGGTGCCACCGTTCAGCCCCGTGACGTCACACCACTGGGCAGGGCTCCCAGGGACTGGTGACACAGGGCTGACGTCAGGGAGACGGAGGGGCCACATGTCCTCTGTGTCCCCAGGGCAGCTCTGTGGCTTGACTGCATGTTTAGCAATGACTATAATTACAAACCTCTTTCCCCAGTAGGCAGCGGGTCCGACCCGGGGCGGGAGCAGGGCAAGCCTGCAGGGAGTTCTATTCCTGGCTCTGAGATTTGAACCCACTGCTCAGCAGTCCCAAGACCATGAACATGCTGTGTGCGTCTAGACAAGTCACTTGTCCTCTCTGGGCCATCTCTAGAGCGCAGCCTCCTAATTCAGTAAAATGAAGAGGTTGTAGGGGATTTCCGGGGACCTTTGCAGGAGTCCCTGAGAAGGGGAGAATGG